ACAGAGGGCTCGTATTGTTACTGAGTACCTCCAACAAGGGCACAGATGGATAGTATTGTTACTGAGTATCTCCAACAAGACCGCAGGTGGCTCGTATTGTTACTGAGTACCTCCAACAAGGGCGCAGATGGATAGTATTGTTACTGGTATCTCCAACAAGACCGCAGGTGGCTCCGTATTGTTACTGAGTACCTCCAACAAGAGCACACAGGGCTTTTATTGTTACTGAGTATCTCCAACAAGAGCGCAGGTGGCTCGTATTGTTACTGAGTATCTCCAACAAAGAGCACACAGGGCTTGTATTGTTAGTGTAGAGTACCTCCAACAAGAGCACACAGGGCTCGTATTGTTACTGAGAACCTCTAACAAAGAGGCACAGATGGCTCGTATTGTTACTGAGTACCTCCAAAGAAGAGCACACAGGGCTCGTATTGTTACTGAGCACCTCAACAAGGCACACAGGGCTTGTATTGTTACTGAGTACCTCCAACAAGGGGCACAGATGGATAGTATTGTTACTGAGTAACTCCAACAAAGGGCACAGATGGATAGTATTGTTACTGAGTACCTCCAACAAGGCACAGATGGATAGTATTGTTACTGAGGAACTCAGCAAGGCACGCGGGGCTTGTATTAATACTAGTACCTCCAACAAGGGCACAGATGGATAGTATTGTTACTGAGTACCTCCAACAAGGGCACAGATGGATAGTATTGTTACTGAGTACCTCCAACAAGAGCACAGATGGATGGTATTGTTACTGAGTACCTCCAACAAGGGCACAGATGGATAGTATTGTTACTGAGTACCTCCAACAAGGGCACAGATGGATAGTATTGTTACTGAGTAAACTCCAACAAGGGCACACAGATGGATAGTATTGTTACTGAGTACCTCCAACAAGGGCACAGATGGATAGTATTGTTACTGAGTACCTCCAACAAGGGGCACAGATGGATAGTATTGTTACTGAGTACCTCCAACAAGAGCACAGGTGGCTAGTATTGTTACTGAGTACCTCCAACAAGGCACACAGGGGCTCGTATTGTTACTGAGCACCTCCAACAAGAGCACACAGGGCTCGTATTGTTACTGAGTACCTCCAACAAGAGCACAGATGGATAGTATTGTTACTGAGTATCTCCAACAAGAGCACAGGTGGCTCGTATTGTTACTGAGTACCTCCAACAAGAGCACACAGGGCTCGTATTGTTACTGACATCTCCAACAAGAGCACACAGGTGACTCGTACTGCTATTGGGAACCTCCAACAAGAGCACAGATGGCTCGTATTGTCACTAAGTACCTCCAGCAGAAGAACATATCCACCTTATCATGGCGACCACTTAGTCGAGACCTGTCACCTGTCACCCATCCAACATGCCTGGGCCTAGATTTTCGAAGCTCTCTTAGCGCTAAGATAGTCGTAAGTGCCATACATTAACATTAACTTAAGACTGTTTTAGCGCTAAGACGGCTTCGAAAATCTAAACCCTAAGATTATACAGACGGCGTGTACCTAACCGTCAACAACCACCGACCACTCTCAACAAACCCGGTGCTGCCCTTCAAGGAGAATGGGGTGGACTGAAACACGTTCGTACTGAACGTTTGATTTGGAGATGCCTCGTCGAATCCAAGATTGTCTTAAGACGACGGGCGGATTGACGCGATATTACTGAGGGTGAAGTTTCATGGTAAATGACGTGATGGACAATAGAGGCGCTTTGGCCAATCATCTGACTAAATCTATGGTCACCGGACGTTCAACGACAAATGTAAATCTCAGTCAGATATCCCTGTTACACTGATAAACCATTCATCTCATTAAACATGTAAAATATCAATAGTTAGGAAGGGGCAGTTACCATCTGTAGAAGGTTGGCTGTACCTATATAAGAACGACAAAGGGAGATTCGAGAACGTTTTGAACATGGCGTGCTTCGTGGCTGAAAAGGTTTTGGAATGGGATGGTGTAGTTTTCTAAAAGGTTGGATTTTCCATATAAAGCGACAGATGGATGATGATTTCAGACTTTTCGACTTAACTTGTTTTTTAATTCATTTGCCATGTGCACTTTTGATACGTGTTATTAAAACACGTTGAATCCCTGATAACTTGCAGCACTGTTCTGAATTCAAGCCCTGAAACTGGACTGTTTTGGACAATGCCAAACGCCTAAACATTCGTAGAGAGATGTAGTGACAATAATTCTAGGGTCTGTTACCAATACCAGCCTAGTCTGTCTCCACACTCCCTGAGCCACATTAGTTTCCCTACTGCCTAGCCCTCTCTGCAATGGTAAAGCCCAAAATGAAGCAAGTCTAGATTTGCTCAGGTCTCTGGTCTTCTCCTGGGGCTCCTTTTCAATTTAAATGGGTTTGTTTGTTACTATCAACATTATATACATGCATATCCAGAGACTAAGCGTTAGTCTAATACCAGCCGTCAGTTTTATTGCCCGTTTGACTGTAGACATCAAACTGTATGTTTATGTATATTATATTCATTAGTCAGGATCATGTGTGGTTGTTTACTGATTTGAGGATTAAGATTTGTATATACGGGTTATTGCTTAAACCATGTTCATTAATTTTGAAATCACCTCGGGGAAAAAAAGGGAGAAAACTAAACTATTCCCAAAGTGTTACCAATACTATTAGAAAAGTCGACAGCATACAGTAATACATTATAATGGAGATACAAGGGTGTATGAATACGAAAAATGGGTACCTAGACTTTACATTCTCTCCACTGTCGTCAATACGTAATTAGGTTCTATAGGAAGAGGCCTCGTCCGTGGTGTAGTGGTTAGAGCGTCCGCCCGGAGAGCGGAAGGTCGCGGGTTCGATCCCCGACCACGTCATACCAAAAGACGTTAAATATGGTACTTGTTGGTCCCTGCCTGGCGCCCGACATTAATGGGTACAACAAGGACTGGTCGGCTCGTATAATGTGTCTGAGTGGGGTATTCATGCTTAACTGTGGCATGATATCTCTAATTCAAGAATTAGTCAATATATGGGTCAGGAATGGCAAAATGCACGAAAAGCCAATTTGTTTTGTTCAAAGCGATTTATTTTTTTTATTCATTTGCTTTTGTGTGTTATTGTAATCAATATACATTAAGAAATCATGTATTCAATATTATTAATAAAAGAATCGAGATGAATTGCTTAAAATAAAATTTCCTCCAATTTTGCAATATGACATTTTACCACCATGATAACATAAAGACATATTTCGCCCTCTAAGGAAAAACTGTAAATCATCTAGTTTTCGCTTTGTTTATTTTTCCATACATTTAACCGAACATACCTTTTAACATAAATCCGTGTCCAGCCTTATCACGCATTCTCTTCCACAGAGGTTACTCCTATCATATTTTCCTACGTAAGATATGACGGGAGTAACCTCTGTGGAAAAATTAATACCACGAGGTCAATGTATGGGTAGTTGCATACTAATCTCGTACGTCACACGTGTGTCGTATCGCGTTGACCTGTGTCGTAACGACTTGACCTGAGATTCTAACGATTTGATTGGATAACCGATGACCTCTCAATTAGGTCACATTCTGACGTAACTATATTTTCATTCATAACAAACACGTGAATTCATTCATTCTACAACTTAAATGCATTGTGGGAATGTAAACATTGCGAACGTTGCCGTGTCGCTGTTTAATTGTGAGTCGAACTGAGACATTATATCCGTCGAAAAACATAAACGCAATGTTTCCACCAGTGATGTTAGCCAAATGAAGCAACTGGAAACCAAGAAACGAGGTGCTACGGAGTAGTTTACTGTAGGAGGCTGTACGAGGCGATGACAACTGACATGCATCGTGACGTCGGTTACCAAGGCAGTGACGTCATTAGTGTGACGTCATGCAAATATTGTACTACAGTACAAAACTCTTCCGCAACCTCTTTATGAAACCGGTTTCGGTTTGAAACCAAAATATTAACAAAAAATACGCTATTTTGTCAATTTAATGCATGTAAGACGTTGGTAATAAATAAAATACCACACTCGGTCTCATTACATACGAATTATACCACAAACTCGTGACCTTCCTATGTTATCTGACCTCGCTTTCGCTCGGTCAGATACCACAGGAAGGACACTCATTCGTATAATTCGTATGTAATCAGAACCTCGTCATAATATTCTCTATTTATTACCCACGTGGTCAACGTATGGGTAGTTGCATATTAATCTCGTACGTCACACGATTGTCGTATCGCGTTGACCTGTGTCGTAACGACTTGACCTGAAATTCTAACGATTTGATTGGATAACCGATGACCTCTCAGTTAGGTCACATTGTGATGTAACTATTTTTTTCATTCATAACAAACACGTGAATTCATTCATTCTACAACTTAAATGCATTGTGGGAATGTAAACATTGCGAACGTTGCCGTGTCGCTGTTTAATTGTGAGTCGAACTGAGACATTATATCCGTCGAAAAACATAAACGCAATGTTTCCACCAGTGATGTTAGCCGAATGAAGCAACTGGAAACCAAGAAACGAGGTGCAACGGAGTAGTTTACTGTAGGAGGCTGTACGAGGCGATGACAACTGACATGCATCGTGACGTCGGTTACCATGGCAGTGACGTCATTAGTGTGACGTCATGCAAATATTGTACTACAGTACAAAACTCTTCCGCAACCTCTTTATGAAATCGGTTTCGGTTTGAAACCAAAAACATAACAAAAATACGCTATTTTGTCAATTTAAATGCATGTAAGACGTGGGTAATAAATAAAATACCACACTCGGTCTCATTACATACGAATTATACGAAACTCGTGACCTTCCTATGTTATCTGACCTCGCTTTCGCTCGGTCAGATACCATAGGAAGGACACTCGTTTCGTATAATTCGTATGTAATGAGACCTCGTGTAGTATTCTCTATGTATCACACGCTGAATGCAACCCAAACAGGCCCTCGACTAAGCTTCAAGGGGAGGTCACTCTAAACAAACGGTGACATCGATAAACAAAAATATGACCGATGTAGAGAAATGCGACTCTTTATAGTTTTAGTTTTATTGACAAAAGTGGATACCATAAGCCCAACTGATTCAACAACCTTAAGATTAGTACAAATTGTGAGTATGTCAATGCTATTTGTGAGCTGCTTTTCCTTCGCCATGTCCCGTCAGCAGTCTGAGCAGACATCCATGATCCACTGATCCAGACGTTGTAGGTTGATATGGCAAAAGCTCAGGGTATTTTATTGACAAGATTCGTTGATAATGCACCATCGCGTATGTTTGCTCACATCATCAGTGTTTTAATCGCACTTTAACGAGATATGTTGTGTCTTACAGACATTGTAAGCTACGCGGAAACTGGCTTGTGTTTTGGGTAAAAACTGGCTTTTACTAGTTTTACACTCAAGACGCAAGTGCAATGTTTTACAGTTTTTCGTCTGATATGCGAGACAACAATGAATGTTATTATGCGTCCGAAAATACATACTACGAGGATGTAATATGGTGTCTACATAAGGCTATCACATTTCTGGGCGCATTATTTCGGATTTCCTGGAGGTTAAAACTATAGCTATACCAGCCTAAAGTTAGCGGCTAAAGCTGAGCAGACGAGTTTGCCAACACTCTACTGTGGATGACGAACGTAGTCACAAATAATATTATTGATTAAAACTGACAATAAATATGTTAAGACCGCGTTCAAATTACATAGGATGAATTTGTTAAATGATGACACAACTGAAATAGGGATTGTAAAGCTGAACCTCGCCGTTTCGCAAAGGAGTGTTTCATAAGCAGCCAAGTGGTAGCCAACTCTATAGCTAAGGATTTGAAAGGATGTTTGATTGTAGAGTCAGTGCTCCGGAAATCCGTACGGTACACTACATATAAATAAATCTACTGATTAATCCATTTCATCAATGTTTTTGTCTCAAGCCCGATACCTTTTCGGTGTTTCCTGGTGTTATTTATAGGATCCAATCGTCACGCTATCATGTGATCACCTAACGGTTTTATTGGTTAACTTCACGGTTGCCTCGCGAAGTAGCGTTCTTTTCGCTTCGCTTTTCGAGATTTTTAGCAAGCCAGCCGTTACCTTGGACACCTGTTGATTGATTCACGGTATGTACAAAAGTGAACACAGACACTGGAATATACAATAAAAAAGCGGCCAGAATGAATAGAATGTGATTTTAATAACTGTTAAATAACTTTCATACATACTTATCAAACATTTGTTAAAAAGCGAAGTTAATGCGGTATTAGGCGACCAATTGTTACTAACAAAAATCACCTCCAAATATCGTGACACTATTCTCTAGCCTTAAGTAACATGAATTTGGTGATCCTGTTGAAGAACGTAATGGTAATTAGCGAAAAAATATGGTTGACAGATAAATAGTCCATTAGAATAACCACTGCACGATTGCTAAATATTTTAATTACACTTTACTAACATAGAAATATGTAGAAATGCAAACGTATTGGACAGCATACTGAAAATGAATTGGAATAATAACAAATTTAAGCACCTATTTATTCCATATCCATGTTCTTTTAACGAAAGAAATATATATATATGCTAATTGCAGATGGCACTGCCGATCAAAATTAGAGACAAAGAACTCAGTGGAAAAATCTTTACTGCTGTGGATTTAGCAAAGATAAGCTACCAGAAACATTCTCATTGATGATGTGTATTTTGAGTCTGAGGCTGAAATTATAAAGGAGCTGCTTTTGGGCAGTGTAGACAATACATGTTATGGAATTGCTGTGGCCCATGTAATTTGTCATGTACTGAAACATCAGCAGGAGATAGATGGTGAAATGTCTATCATGCACCTTTAGCGCCAGGTCTTGAACTATATCCAAGACCATTACGATCTTCAACAGGATCTGAAAGCCGTTATGGAAATTTTGGAACATTGTGGTTGTTATTGAAATAAATGAATTTCTTGTTCAATAACTAAGCTTTTGTTCTTTTAAATGACTCTACCATTGATACTTTATAGATGGGGAAGAAAAGAACTTATACAAAGAGGATCTCCAAATGGCAGTGAACGATGTCAATATGGGCATGTCGCTCAGAAAGGCTGCCAAAAAGCATGGAGTGCCAGTCATGGCGATATCGGACCGTGTCACTGGGAAATCCGAAGGTGATTTGCATCTTGAAACCCCCCAACCATCTCCACAGAACTTGAAAACGACATTGCAAGCAAATTGAAATTAGCTGCATTACAGGGATTCGGCGTCACCCGGCGCCACTTAATAATAAAAGTGGCTTAATTTGCAAACAGCTTGGTATTAAAACCCTTTTAAAGGGGAATTCCTGGCAAGAAATGGATTGCGGGCTTCCTGAAGCGTCCACCCTGACGTGAAAACTGAGAACACCAGTGGCGTTATCCACCGTGAGAGCCAGGATGCTAAACCCCGTCCATTGTGGACAGCTATTTTAAGACTTTAATTGACATTATGAATACATTAGATTTAAACAACAAGCCTCAGTTAATCTGGAATATAGACTGAAAACTGGGGTTCCTCTAACTCACCGGCCGCGGCTAAAATTTTTCACTCAAACTGGAATTAAGAACATTCCTGGCCGTGTTGGTAATGACCGTGACAGGGTTAGTGTTTTGGCATGTGTTAATGCCGCTGGAAACACAATACCACCAATGGCCATCGTGAGAGGCAAGACCCAAAGATGTTTGGGCACATACAACACTAAACTTGGCGTTCCTGGCACTGTCTACACACATACCAGGAGAGCGCGGATGGAAGATCAGCTGGGGAGAGATGGTTCGAAGACCATTTTCTCAAGTATTAAGGCTCAGAGAGACCTCAGCTAATCATCCTTGATAGCCATTCGTCTCATGAGACACTGGGTTTTCTGGAGAAGGCACGGAGAACAACGTTACAGTTCTTGCGTTCCCTCCCCATACAACCCAGTGGCTATGTCCACTAGACAAAAGCGTATTTAGTTCTTTAAGTAGGGAATGGAATTTTGGGTGCTCAGATTATATGAGCAGTAGCCCCAACAACATTGTTTGTAAGTGGGAGTGGCGAGGGTTGTTCAGAGCTTCTACGACGACAAAGCATTCACCGCCAGTAATATCATCAATGGCTTCAGGAAATGTGGGATATTTCCTTTCAATCCCACAGCCATCCCCAGGTCAGCATTTTTGCACCGTCGCAGCCCTTTGACAAGCGCTCCTACATCAAAGTCCCCAGTGAGCAGAAAAATAGTTGCATCGCGGTGAGTGAGTCATCGGTAGCTGTAGCTACCCTGAAACAGCTGAAACACTCCATGATGCAGATGCACTTCAAGCTGCAGCTACTCCAGAACCGACACCCATCTACATCCGTCCAGCAGGAGGCTGACCTTCCAGAGGGAGCAGAGGTCTTGTCAGCTGAAGAATTCATCCTCTCTGTTCTCACTGGAGACGTCCCTTCATCATTTGATGAATCTGGCAACATGGTTGTAGAGAGTTACAAGCGATGAAGGGTTGCCTCTTACTACAACTGGAAGCAGTAAACCGGGAGTTTGCTTTGCCTGAAACTAAAAAGTCAGAGGGCAAAGTCAATCCCAGAAAGCTGACCTCACATAGAATCTTGACAAGTGACCATATCATTGAAATGAAAAAGAGAGAAAGTTGAGCAGAAACGGAAAAATGAAGCAGAAAGAAGGCCAGAAAAGAGCAGAGAGAACTTAAACTAAAACTTAAGAATAAACAGAAGTAGTTCTCCGTAAAAGTATTGATTCAAAGTGAAATCAAGTTTAAGTCAGTTTCATTCTATGTGTGAATTATACTGAGGCGCATAAATAGATCTAACTATTTTATCGCTCGGGATTAAAATTAGCATTCATCATGACTCAACGTTTTCATGTTGTATATTACACACATTATGGAATAATGCATGCATGCTGCATATACATTCTGAATTAAATGAACACAAAAACTACTTATTTGGAATTATTTAAAACTTAGCCATGTAGTCACCGTGGCGATACCACTGTTGGCATTTGACAGCAGAGCTATTGAGGGTGTATGAGCTGTCAATCAATGTAATATCCATGCACTTCCTAGAGACACCGTGTACTTTTATTTACAAACACTTACAAAGTGAAATGCAAAACAAATATTGCTTTTGTCTAGAAATTCAATATTTAATAACATATAATTCAGTATGTACGGTATTGAGCACCCTATACGATATTGAGAGGTTATTGATGCGGTATTACAGTGATTCCGATGCGGCATTAGGGAGCATAGAGGTTTAGCGTGGAAAAGTTAACAGGGATGATAAACTGAAACCCTTATAATGAACCCGGTTGCTATATTCAGACTCCCCATTGGATGAGCTTCATTCTGGTATATGACATTCCAAAACTGGTAACGGAAGTAAGTGGGCATTCATTTAAGGACCAAACCCGTGCGTGCCAGGAGCACTGACTCTAAAGGGATACCTGTCTTAAATGACCAGTGCCGGGTTTCACTCACATTATGCAGATCAATAATGGAGCTCAGTAATTAATCAATAATCGATTGTAATTGTAAACCCTGCCACAAAACTCATGCGGGCATTATCGGGTCAATATCATAACATTGTGTATATGAAACAGGCACAGATTAATACACTACAATCACGAATACTTCCTGTTGAGACAAATAGGCAACCAATGTTTATAAGATATTACAGTCAGGAAACCGACATGTTTTGATATAGATTATTAAATCATTCTCAGGCTAATGTGATTATGGCGATTCTGTTGTGTCATAAAATGTGATCACATCCTTATTATAACCGGTTAAAACATTCGCTCAACGCTCGTCGCACTGAAGCCCAAGATTTGATTCCCAACATGGGTACAATATGTGGGGCCCTGGGCACTGTTCCACAAAGCTATCGTAGCACTACGACTATCAGAAGGGGTACAGCCTAGTGGTTAAAGCGTTTGCTCATCATGCCAAAAAAAACCACATTGATACAAGTTGTGAAGCCCATTTCTGGTGTCCCCTGCCGTGATATTGCTGTAATATTGTTAAAAGCTTCTTAAAACCAAACTTACTCACTCATAAGTCTATATGTTAAAGTTTACGACTTACGATAACATCAGCACTACGATGGTTTTGTGGAATCGCACCCCAACAGTGTCCAAGTATTGCCAGAATATTGCCAAAAGCGGCATAAAACCACACTCACTCTCATCACTAAATTTTAACCTGGATATTACAAGAGAACCTACCTGTCATTTCATCGTGGTTTCACCTGTCGTTACATCTCGGTTTCAGCTGTTCCGCCATGGTGACCGTAGTCCAACCCATGTGTACCCCACAGACCCGTATCAGGAGGACTCCTGGCCGCAGGGGCTTGGTCAGCTGTCCAAGGTTTGTGTACTTTTTCAGTATTCAGTCTAGAACTTCTAGCATTATCACAGCCATTTTGATACTAACACAAAAATCATAACCTATGGCAAGATTATGATTTCCAATATGGGTATAGCTGCTTAAAGGCACAATGTCACATATTTTCGACAATATTTTGGCCTGTATTATATATATTGGGGCATATGTGCTCACTTGAGCTTCCTATTGATGCAATAAAAGATTTATTATCCTTTACAACTTGCCTGAAATGATTAATTGAAACTTTGAGGCGAACAGCTTCCAAACAGAGAACACGTACCATGTATGGAATGTAAACAATTGCTCCGTTCATTGGAAACTGTTGCCGAACTGATTTCAATCACAAGTTGTGTGTATGATATTCGTAAAGAGCGCTCCAAGGGACATAACTCTATCGGGTTCGCGTGAAATAATGTTCGACCAGCAGAGGACGAGAGTTGATTTAATGCAACTTTGCATTAATTCATTCGAACTTTTTCATTTAACATTGTAATCTAAATGCATGATTGTTTTTGGAATAAATTGTATGGTAGCTTCCCTGAGGGCTGATAGTTAGTATTATTAAGAGAAATGTATTATTATTTTTTAGAGAAGTGTGGTGTGACATTTAGCATTTAAGCAGATACAACCATACATGACCCCAGTTTGGTTACATGGTGACGGTAGCTGTGCAATGTTTGTTAATTCTAGTCATTCAAGCTGTCTGCAAAACCTTTGACCCAGGTACACATTTGGCTTGAAAGAAGTTGCTTCAAGTTAAGAATTTCATTTATTTGCATATATGGTACATCGCTTACAAATTTGTTCGCATATATTATGGGTTGTATTTTACATTGAAGTTCACTCTTCTCTGATATAGTCGACCCTTGAAGATCCAGGTTAAAATTGATCTTCAGGAAAACATGTTTGTCGTAAGGGGCTGACTACCCGGATCGGGTGGTCAGAATTGCTGTCTTGGTTGACACATGTCATCGGTTCCCAATTGCGTAGATCAATGCGCATGGTGTTGATCACTGGATTGTGTGGTCCAGACTCAGTTATTTACAGACTGCCGCCATATAGGTGGAATATTGCCGAGTGTGGCGTAAAACTACACTAACTCACTCACTCTTATACAGTCAAAGTGAAAGGTAATGACTCAGGTTAAACACAGGGTGTTGATCTTTCATAGTCTGTATATGGCTTCCTTGCATTGATCTGTGGCATGTTTTTACACATGCATTACATTTGAATATTTTGCAATAACATATTACAGGGTTTGATTTAAGGAATGTTAACCTACTTGCACCAGGTGCAACCTAAGACAAAAACCTAGTTGCACCAGCCAAATTCCAGTTGCACTGCTTTTATTGCAATATGTAATGGCAGAAATATGCTACTGAATTATTCAAAGTTTAGAAGAATAATGTGCTGAGATAATTATGTTTATAATGTCAGATTTATTGTTATTTATTTCTCAAAAATTGACTTGCACCTGGTGCAAGTTAGACAAATAATTAGGTTGCAATGTGTAATATTGGGTTGCACCGGTGCAAGTAACAAAGCACAAAATTGAGCCCTGTGTTACACAGGCAGATTTAGGTAATTTTGTCAATAAACACCTGAAGGAATGATGGTGTCCATGTGGGTAGCAAAGTACTGTAAGTCCTCATGGCCCGTAGTATGGTGATGCCATCTGTTGCTGGAGAGCGACAGCTCATTTCTATATTGTGTTGTTCTGATAGAAATTAAATTTTAAATTCTGTTTCTGTGACATTCTATTTTTATTGTCCTTTGTTGACAGGTGTTTTATGATTTAAGAGTATTTTATATTGTGTTGTCATGAATAGTGATAAAATTTTAAAGTTACATGCCACTTTTAAACCTATGTGTGTGATATTCTAGAAATTGTATTGACCTTGTCAACAGATTTTACATTGTATTCTATTTATTATCAATGTACGAGTTATTTTAGTCGGTATGTCTGAAATATTACAGATGTGACTTTAGTTTAAATCTTCACTCACTCACTCACTCATAGTCATACAGGCAGACGAACTGTGTAAAAAACAACAGTACAGTTTCAAAACATGCAGAAACCACTTTTCTCACATGTTCTAATCAGGGTTTTACGTGACGCAAAAATGTGCATCCAGTACGCACAAATGCAGAGAATGGACGCAGAAAACCCACGATACGCAGGAGAGACGCACAAATATACCAAGAGCGAACCTATACCTCATCAAGAGTAGTTATCCAGTGTTCACGAATGGTGTTTCAAAGTAACAGGACATTGCGTCCTGTAAGTTTCAGAGGTCTGTTCGACCCACTGAAAATTCACAGGACCCATAGAATAAAAATTAAACACACATTTCAGATTTAACACTTCTTATAAGTGGCATTGAAATTATTAACAAACGTAAAATTTGTAAACAGCAAACAAGTGTGATGTGTCACATACGACAACTTCAGTCAAAGTCATTGTGAAATATACAGTCGGACACTGTGGCTGGCAGGTGGTAGACTTCCACCGGACCACCGGAAAATCTGCCGGATTTGTCAGAGGGTCAGACACTATTCGTGAACACTGGTTATCTGTCTGTTATTTCACCCATCAGTCATGACCATTGTCCACGTGATCACTGATTCATCCCAGGCTCTGAAGTAATTATCTGAACGTGCACTACACGTATACAATACACCATTTTAAAACTATACAGAACCCTCAAATTACCAGCAAGGACCTGCTAAATTTATTGATGGTGGTCCCCTGGACCTCCATGTTTGTATGGCAAGTTAAAACTCTGTACTAATGCTTGAGGAGGATGTTCATCAGCCACATTTTCCCAGAAACTCTGTCCAGGGGTAGCTGTAGGAAAAAAAGCTTCACATTCCTAAAACGCAGAGCCCCAAGAATCTTTCGTGTGCATGCCTGAGCCAGAAAGCGTCAAGGTCTCTTGGGGGATGTGGGGTCCCCCCATAAAATTTTGAAATGTAGACATCATTTCCTTGCATTTCAGAGCATGTTGTCATCATTCACAAGTCAAATTACCTGAGAGAAACTTTATTGTATTATGTAGTTTCCTTGGGTAAAATACATATTTCAGGTAATTGTTCCCCGAATACAAAATTCTTTGCGTGCAGAACATGCATGTAGAAAATATCGTGCGTGAAATGTAGATTTATTTGCGTGAACCATGCAAATGTTTGCATTAATGTGGATACTGTGTCCACTTGACAACGGAGGCTGTTGTCATGTCATATCAACCTTCAGCAAACATTTAATATGAATGAAGGAAAGATGCATGGGTTCCTGAACCAATCACATGCAAATTTTCAAATGTCATGGTTTCACATGTGAGCTAAAGAGTACGCTGTGTTGAAGCTGCAAATATATTTTCACAGTTATATGATCACCTGTTAACACATACATTATTATTTTTGTGTGTTACAGTTGTGCATTAACAAAGTTTTTCATCTAAATGTTGTAGGTGGGCATGAAACAGATGTATGAAGTTGGTCAGTTCATCAGAACACGCTACGTAGGTAGTGGCTTCCTAACAGCTAGCTACACAAACACAGAGGTAAGTCTGTTCATCAGAACACGCTACATCGGGAGTGATTTCCTAACAGCTAACTATACACAAACACAGAGGTAAGTCTGTTCCTGAGAACACAATATATAGGTAGTGGGTTCCTAACAGCTAGCTACACAAACACAGAGGTAAGTCTGTTCATCGGAACACAATACGTAGGTAGTGATTTCCTAACAGCTAGCTACACAAACACAGAGGTAAGTCTGTTCATCAGAACACAATACATAGGTAGTGATTTCCTAACAGCTAGCTACACAAACACAGAGGTAAGTCTGTTCATCAGAACACGCTACATTTGGAGTGATTTCCTAACAGCTAACTACACAAACACAGAGGTAAGTCTGTTCATGAGAACACAATACGTAGGTAGTGGTGGTTTCCTAACAGCTAGCTACACAAACACAGAGGTGAGTCTGTCTGTTCATCGGAAACAGCTACTACTAAACACAGAGGTGAGTCTGTTCTTCAGAACACTCTACATGTAGGTAGAGTTTCCTAACAGCTAACTACACAAACACAGAGGTAAGTCTGTTCATGAGAACACAATACGTAGGTAGTGGTTTCTTAATAGCTAGCTACACAAACACAGAGGTAAGTCTGTTCATCGGAACACAATACGTAGGTAGTGATTTCCTAACAGCTAGCTACACAAACACAGAGGTGAGTCTGTTCATCAGTACACGCTACATTGGTAGTGATTTCCTAACAGCTAACTACACAAACACAGAGGTGAGTCTGTTCATCAGTACACACTACATTGGTAGTGATTTCCTAACAGCTAACTACACAAACACAGAGGTGAGTCTGTTCATCAGAACACACTACATTGGGAGTGATTTCACTGCACACATTGGTGAGTGATTTCCTAACAGCTAACTACATAAACACAGAGGTGAGTCTGTTCATCAGTACACACTACATCAGGAGTGATTTCCTAACAGCTATCTACACAAGCACAGAGGTGAGTCTCTTTATGAAGCTGTTCGAATGACATAAAAACTGTTCATTAGTCTTTTCACCTGAAATATTAGCATGTATAGTTTTCTTGTACTTGCTATGCTTGTACTTATGAACATGATGAAGTACTCATGGTTTACAAGTTAAAACTTCAACAGTGGATATGAATAAAATGTTGGCTAAGAGGAATGACTCTTTTTGATAGACAACTTCTTTTTCTTGCAATATACATTTTGGTGTAGATATTAACACTGTTATCCAGAAAATGTAGGTTGGACAAAAATTGATACTTTTCTGACAAATATCATAGCAAGTGTTGATTTACAATTTCCTATACTGTCTGATATGCTATGGGTGGTGGTGTTGCCTAGTAGTTAAAGCGATCGCTCGTTACGCCGAAGACCCGGGTTTGATTCCCCACATAGGTACAATGTGTGAAGTCTATTGCCGGTGTCCCCTGTGATATTGCTGGAATAGTGCTAAGGCGTCGTAGCTCCATACTCACTCACTCACGATATCATTCTATGGGTTTCCAAAGCTTTGTGAAGGTGAGCTTCAGAATACGAGTATTATACTTTCCATATTCATAGACTCGTAGGAGCATCGGTAGACAATGCTGCAATGATGGGGGATTGTTTTATCGTATACTTCTAAGGGAGTTCAGATAGAATTTAATATCTTTGCTAACCTGGGAATAATGTCAATTTCAGTAAGCCTGCCCCTTGATAGTGTGGACCCTTGTGTCATTTACATGATTATCATGATTTTGTTGTAGATTCACGTCCGGAGCACAGACGTTGACAGGACGTTGATGAGCGCCTACAGTGTTCTCACTGGCCTTTATCCACCAGAGGGCAAGCAAGTTTGGAATGGTACATTACCATGGCAACCAATACCAGTTCACACAGTTCCTAGGTCAGAGGACTATGTAAGTTGTGTTGTCTATGTCCAAAAGTAAATACTAATTTGTTCATCTCCTGGGATGATGGCTGGCCCATTTGTTTAAGGCGCTGCAGTAGCCATCAGCTTTTAGAGAAAATACAAATTTACTTCATAGGTTGTGATCTGCTGTGATGTAGATATAGTGCTGACACAGATGTGCTGTTGCTCTGATATAGTTATGACAACTGTGATGTAGCTGTGATGTAGCTCTCATATAGCTTAGACAGGTGAGGTGTAGCTATGATATGGCTGTAAAACAGCTGTGCTGTGCTTCTCATATAGCTGTGACAGCTGTCCTGTAGCTCTCACATAGCTGTAACACAGCTGTGATATAGCTGTTCTGTAGCTCTCATATAGCTTTAACACAGCTGTTCTGTAGCTGTCATATAGCTTTAACACAGCTGTGGTATAACAGTTCTGTAGCTATCATATAGCTTTAACACTGCTGTTCTGTAGCTGTCATATAGCTTTAACACAGCTGTTCTGTAGCTCTCATACAGCTTTAACACAGCTGTGATATAGCTGTTCTGTAGCTGTCATATAGCTTTAACACAGCTGTGTTATAATTGTTCTGTAGCTCCCATATAACTTTAACACAGCTGTGATATAGCTGGTCTGTAGCTGTCATATAGCTTTAACACAGCTGTGATATAGCTGTTCTGTAGCTCTCATATAGAGCTTTTACACAGCTGTTCTGTAGCTGTCATACAGCTTTAACAGAGCTGTTCTGTAGCTGTCATATAGCCTTAACACAGCTGTTTTGTAGCTGTCATACAGCTTTAACACAGCTGTTCTGTAGCTGTCATACAGCTGCTTAACACAGCTGTTCTGTAGCTGTCATACAGCTTTAACACAGCTGTTCTGTAGCTGTCATACAGCTTTAACACAGCTGTTCTGTAGCTGTCATACAGCTTTAACACAGCTGTTCTGTAGCTGTCATACAGCTTTAACACAGCTGTTCTGTAGCTGTCATACAGCTTTAACACAGCTGTTCTGTAGCTGTCATACAGCTTTAACACAGCTGTTCTGTAGCTGTCATACAGCTTTAACACAGCTGTTCTGTAGCTGTCATACAGCTTAACACAGCTGTGATACAGCTGTTCTGTAGCTGTCATACAGCTTTAACACAGCTGTTCTGTAGCTGTCATACAGCTTTAACACAGCTGTTCTGTAGCTGTCATACAGCTTTAACACAGCTGTTCTGTAGCTGTCATACAGCTTTAACACAGCTATTCTGTAGCTTTAACACAGCTATTCTGTAGCTCTCATATAGCTGTGACAGGTGTTCTGTAGCTGTGGTATAGCTCTCATAAGGTTGTGACTCAGCTGTACTGTCACTGTAGCTGTCGTACAGTTGTAACACAGCTGTTCTGTAGTTATTGCTACACTGACCACTTGTCTGTCTTCAGCTGCTGTACCTGCACTGCCCCACGTATGAGAAAGCGTATGAGGAGCTGCTGCAGAGTCCTCCCATGCTGAAGATACAGAACCAACACAAGGTAGGCTGACTGGATGATGGGGAGTCCATTACTTATTTACTCATACCACTAGGGGTGGGCGATAATACCCAGGGCTCCAGATAAGGGCTGTATCGGCGTATGTACGGATAAAATATATGCAATATGGTAGGAAATAATTTAGAAAACATAGCAGATACGCACCACAGCAATGGTGTACGGTCTTAGAATCATTTACAGACTGAATTTGTTTCATTGTTTTTTCTACCTGTTTACACAAGAGTAGCAATGTTGTGGTGCATATATGAAATGAAACAGAAGCTTACTGATACTCCATTAAATTCCATTCTGTAATCGAAATGTACTCTTTCAGTTTTTCCAGTACTCCTATATTACAAAAAATAAGGAGTACATACTCCTGATGTTGAAAAATTATCTTGAGCCCTGATACCGGTTTACCTCTATATTGCAATTCGAACTTCACAATATGATATATTGCGGTACACTTTTTGCAAACCGGTTCTCCCGATACGATCTCTAATTTTCGTGATGTAGTCAACACTTCTAATAACATTTGTATTTCATTTATATTATTATACATTAATAGTTTTGAGAATGTTTATTGGTCATGTAATTGCATTTGCATGATTTTCAAATCATGTAAATAAAAGAATAGATTGTTACCGTCACTCATAGGGTTAAACAAACCAAAATGGCGGACACCGCTTCAGACGCTTTTTCACGAGTTCCAAACTTTAGAGGGAAGTCTTCAAATTGGAAACATTTTCAATTGATCTCTTGTACAATTACATCTGAGTCCTGACAGTGGCCAGTGGCATTATTCCAAAAGAAAGGAAACAGTAATTTCATTACTTTAACACATGTGTTACACTTTCGCAATATATTGCAATACATATTGCAATATGCCAACACATATCACACAATATCGCAATTCGAAAATTTTGGCGATACCCAACCCTACATACCACCCTTGAAGATCCGGGATAAAACTGGTCTTCCGCAACCCATGCTTGACCTAAGAGGATTGGGTGGTTAGGCTCGCTGACTTGGCTAACACATGTCATCATATCCCAGTTGCATAGATTGATGCTCATGATATTGATTACTGGATTGTCTGGTCTAGACATAATTAATTACAGACCAGTCCCATCTATCTGGAATATTGCTGAGTGCAGCGTTAAACAACAAAAAAAAACATCAACTCATACAGTTGCCCATCATGTCTGTCACCATTCTCTTCCCACAGAGGTTACTCCTGTCATATCTTCCTACGTAACCTCTGTTCTAATACGGCCCTTTCATGGTGTGAGCGTTCAAGACTCGTGATTGGAGACAATCAGATTTAGTTGTGCAATCAGCAACGTTGTTTCAAAAGTGATCATTCGCAAGGCATCGGTAATTTCCGTATGCTTCGAGAAAACTAAACTTCTTCCCCTGCGCGATGCGCAAACGTTTCTTCTAGACAGAACTCAGTTATGTTATGGCGGATCAGTGGCGTCTCCATCGCCCTCGTTGACAACGGACAAGCTAGCCATTAAACGTCTTGTGTGTAACATCAACACAAGTCCCCGGCAGATGGGGGATATTTGTGGCCCCACATTTGCTTGTGTTAGTCAAGTTGAATCTAAGTCGATGTAACAGGTGTTCTGATTGGATAGAAAGAAGGGAGATAATTTGTGTTGCGATCTTTTGCCGCTAGGGGGTTTTACGAGAACCGGGGAAATATGGCCGTATTAGAACAGAGGTTACGTAGGAAGATATGACAGGAGTAACCTCTGTGGGAAGAGAATGGTCTGTCACTGGCTTCACTTCAATATATTATTAACAGTAATGGATATTCTTAAAGATGTATCAATAATTTTCAGATTTAACCTTCATGCCCCAATAACATAATGTTATCAAATTACTGGGAGTCTAACCAAACCATTATCTCTCTAATACAAGGAATTTCTTACCCACAAATATTCCTCAAAAGCAAAGAAAACACTTTCTGTAATATATGTTTCAAAAGTAATGGTAGTTTCATATTTGATACTATTTATTAAACTTTATTTTAGATTAACTGAATTGTAAATTTTGATAACTATATTACGCAATATATACACAAAGCACCCCCTGTCATGTCTCATGATTGAATGAGCCCTGATCTTAACCCTTTGGAGCATATGTGGGACATGATTGGTCGTCGGGTGTAGCAAAGGGATCCTCTTGTACAGAAGGTACTCCAAATGGAAGCTGTTTTACACGAGGAATGATGTAGACTGCCCCTTCAGAGGATCAAGAGGCTGACAGGGGGTTCGAGGAGGAGAGTGCTGGCTGTCATACAGTCACATGGAGGTCACACTCAGTATTGACCTTGAATCGTGTAAGACATGCAAAATGACATTTTGAATGTTCATATTCACCAATAAATTTAACATTTAAACATTCCAGGGCCATACTTATACAGACATGGTTTCGTATGAAAAGCAGCGATTTCTCGAAATGAGCAATTATAATCATAAAATCAACATGGATTCCAATCATTTCATTGTCTGTTATAAGTCAAAGGATCATACGGGTCAGAAAAACTTGTTTTTCCATCGTGGTCACCATGAGAAGTTTTATGTATGTGTTGAAAACTTATCATTGCAAAAACACAGGGGGTGCTTTGTAAGTTCTTTGTGTACAGTTGTCCTGTTAATTATAACATGAGACATTGTTATTTCCAGGACCTTATAGACTACATCTCACAGCATTCTGGTCTCAGCGCTACTCTTGGCAGCCTTCTTCTTATAATGGATCCTCTTCTGTGTGAGGTACCGGATACATTCAGCAATTATTTTTTTTTAGAATTAAAGTACATCATTTTTTATAGACGATAGTGCAGTTGTAAGGCATCTGCCTATTACGCTAAAGGCCTGGGTTTGATCCCTGGTGGAGGCACCTAGGTTGAGGTCCAGAGGTGGGCACATTTGCATAGTATCCTTACACAAGCTACTTAGATCCACATTATCTCAATTCACCCAGCTGTAAAATGGGTCCCCGTGAGGATGTTCCGGCAATGTGAGTGTTTAATTCATTGCACCTAACAGGCAATATGGCTGTATGATCCCCAGGGAGTTGAAAAAGTATCGGAAAGTGTGATAGTTCCCTGTGCCTGGGGATAGTAATGTACATAGCGCTGTGAGCAGGCAATGTGCCTGGATATATCACCATATAAGTGGACTATTACTACTACTATTACAGACAGTACAGACAGTTTGATGAAATTATGTGTGGAAGAGTGGTCAGTGTGAGATGACCCGCTGGTTTATGTTGATTTCATGCAATGGATTTTAAGATACTCTACTTAGCAGATATTTGATTTTCTGTAAAAGGGAAATGAACATTTCAATATGGCAGCGACATGATTTTTTACAGTGTTGACTTTGAATATGTGGGGCAGTGGGGTAGTCTAGAGATATTTATTTGTTTGCTCATCATGCCAAAGACCCAGGTTTGAGTTCCCAAATGGGTACAAGGGGTGAAGCCCATTTGTGGTTTTCCCCCTGCTGTGATATTGCTGTTATATTGCTAAAAGTGGCGTAAAACCTTACTCACTCTCTTGAATATGTCATTAATACCCATCACTGATGTTTGATGTGTCCAGAAAATAAACAAGAAGCCCTATCCACCATGGCTGATAGTAAACGACACAGCAGAGATCATCCTGAAACTGATAGATTTGAAAGTTCAAGTAAGGACAAACACTCCTGAACTGGCTCGCATCAGGGGAGGTAAGTCTGTCTCTCAGATAACAGCAAATTACAATACTAACTACTATTAGTCTAGCGTCAGATGCCATGGTGTCACATGACTTCAGGATCAGAGTGCTCTAGTTTGCTATTGTGTGCAATATATTACCGCTGATGTACCACCCGTGAAGATCCGGGTTAGAATTGGTCTTCAGCAACCCATGCTTGTCATAAGAGGCGACCAACAGGTTAGGGTGGTCAGACTCGCTGACTTGCTTGACACATGTCATTGTATCCACAGGCGGATCCAGAAGGGGGATGCAGGGGTGTGCACACACACACACACACACTTTTGTCCTGAAAGTTTGTTCAATGACCATTGAAACTCAGGTAAAAATGAAGAGTGCACCCCCCTTTTCTCAAAAAGCTGCATCCGCCGCTGGTATCACAATTGCATTGATTGATGCTTATGCTGTTGATCACTGTATTGTCAGATCCAGACTTGGTCAATTACAGATTGCTGCCATATAGTTAAGAGATTGCTGAGTGCGGTGTTAAACAACAAATACATATGTGGTTATTGATTCTAGATCATCTTTCTGTGTCTACAGGTCCACTGCTTGGAAGAATGATACAGAACATGAAAGACCACATCACTAATAAATTGTCAAGGAAAGCTCTTCTCTTCTCAGCAGTGAGTTCCCACTGCAAAATGTTTAAATCATTATTACCAATCATTATTGAAAAGATAAGCTTTAGGTTCTGTAATTGGCAAAAAATGATGGAGCGAAGGTTTAGACATTCTTCCCATTTCCTGACAGACACAAATGTGGATTACCTGACCCTGAGCCCTGTTTTTTGTTTTTATGGAGCTACTTCTCAATATGTATCTGAATGGATGAGAATTTTCCTTGTATCAGCAAAATTCTTAGGATTTAGTCACATCAAGGGATATTGTTATTATACATAAATCATATGATTGCAAAATTCCATTTAAGAAAGTTGTCAAATGTAACATGTGTTACATTTGGGATTACACTTTCTTAGTAAAGTACAAATTCTAGTACTTTTTGGGTTGAGTCATCCAGGATTTGAACCCTAATAGCCAGCACACAAAGTCAACCGCCTAACCCGCTCAGCCATGTGACTTCCACAGAATGGAATTCGGACAAATGGTCGATTAGGTTAACAAATATGTACTTTACTAAGAAAGTGTAATCCCAAATATGTCATATGTTACATAAATCATTGTCCTCCAGACCCTGTCTAACTTAATTTTATTTGTTTACGATAAAAGAAACTACCATTTTCATCCCTGTATCACTATCCTGGTATCATCTGTATCTTATGACACCAGGATAAATTTATTGTGCTTTGTTATTGATAAATCAGTCATTAAAGAAAACAGAAATATCAACGAAAACCAAACCTGACTCCCAACCCTACTCTCTGATGCACAGTAATGGGTAATATGTTTTTAGGGTAGATTTAACACTAACTTATGTTTAATAATACCTAAAGTCTTCATCTTATCTCACCTTCAGCATGACTCCACAATCGAAGCGTTTCTAAGTGCACTGAATGTGTTCAATCACCGATACGTCCCGTACGGATCCAGCGTCTATGTAGAACTACATGAAATCAAGGATGCCCCTGTTGTCAAGGTGTTCTATAGAAATGACACAACTGCTGAACCATATCTGCTCGAATTATCAGGTAATGGATGAACATCTGTGATATGAGGGGATATCAAAAAGTTCTAATTATCGCCATGAATTTATTGAGAAATTATGACGAAAATTTGAAGGTAACATCAGTGATCCTTATCTAGTATATGGACCCAAAACTATTTACATCTCTTTATTCAATCTTGTGGAGGGTTGGTTTTCCATGAAATCAGGGGGGTCTATTCAACCGGTCTGCACAAGGTCAAGAAATGTTGGGAGAAATGTGTCTTTCTGGATGGTGATTATGTAGAGAAGTCTTAAGGACAAGAAATCAAAATAAAGTTTCTACTATGTCTTGGTGATAATTAGAAATGTTTGATACCCCCTCATAGCTCAGTTAAACAATACAGTAGGGTAAGGTCATGAGGATGTAAAAGGTTTGGTCATCTCGCAAAAATGGTAAATATACTTTGATGAGCATGAAAAGTTTGCAATCCTTCTGTTTCAGTAATTCATGTGCAGCATATGGATGTTGTTTAACACTGTGGATTCGTAAACAATTTTAAGTACATATTGGGGTCTCAAAGTGTAACCGGAGTGGTTTGGTATATACCACAAAGGCAAATAGTTTTTTTGTAGATGTCAGTTTAATGGCAATAACTGAAGAAGGCCCTGTGATAAGCTGTTGATAGCTGTGACCAGTGACCAGACAGACTGAGGTGAAAATGATAGCTGACCCACAAAACACCCTGCTATTGAAACTAAGGGGCCTGGGGCTGGGGCAAGACAATAGAGACAATAGACAACGTGAGCGCAAGGGTGACCGTGCTATTGTGAAAGTGAAGCAGGTTAGATTGAGTGGTTAAGCTAGGGCTAGACTTAGTGATTAAAATACAAATTAAAATACACTTGCTTATATGTACATAATTACATACTCCTACATTCTTCCCTCCCAGGAAAATGGCGTCTCTGTCATTCTGTGTTCTGGCGAGTGAGAATGTTTAGAAAAAGCTGATGTCGGTGCAGTCTCTTCTAATGTTCCAGCATTGGTTAAATGCTCTAGGTACCGAACCCTAGCCATCCAATCTGGTTCTGCTGTGATATGGCTAAGTGCATACTGTCCTGAACGCACCCAACTAGGGGGTTGCCTAGCACCTGTTGACCTTCGTGGAACAACATCGAATCCATTAGCATCTGGAGCAGAGTCATCTGCGGTGTCCATTTCTTCAACTGCTTCAGGTGAAGACACGCGGTCCAGAACATCATTATTTGCTCCTGCTTCTTCATTCTCAGGAATGACATCATCTCTGTGTAGTTCTGGAGTATTAACACCAGCGTCTTCATCCACTTCATCATCAGATGGATTCACCTCTGTTTCTCCCTCTCCTGGGATGTGACCGTCGTCACCAGAGATATGTTCTGCTGCTACCTCAGCCTCATGATCGTCACCACTTTCGCCTGAGTAGCAGTATCCGTTATCTGCAGAAACATCCTGTTTGGTATCTGTAGGAATACCAGAAGCTGCAACACCTTTTATTTTTGTGGATCTCTACAATGATGTCTTCCTGGTTGGTGTTATCAATTGGTAGTACATTATCTGACCTTGGTTGTGGTCCAGATCGTCTTGGCCTTGGTACGGGTTTGGGTCTGGATGATGGAGACTCTGCTTCAGGTGATGGCTCAGCATTATCAAAGCCATGAAGAGTGCCGATCGGCAAAGGGAGATTCCTATGCAAAGTCTTCTGTCCGACCTTCACCATTCTCTTTCTGCACTACAAAGGCGGGAACATCTTGATTAGGCTGGGACAGAATAATGTAAGGATCCTCCTCCCACTTGTCTGAAAGCTTATGTTTACCATCAAATGCCAATATCTTTACTAGCAGCTAGCGATCTCCAGTCTGCAGTGTGGCTCCCCTCACCCGTATGTCATATCCTTTCTTCTGCCTGTCACGAGATGTTTTAGCTGAAGCCAAAGCTAGTTCATATGAGTCCTTCAATCGCGTTTCTGGAGTGATCTGGTATACTCAGTGAGTGGCGTCTGTGTCATTCCAAGTTCTAATCCAAAGGCAAGATCGAGGAGAGAGCGTGGTTCTCTACCACCAAACATTAAGAAGAGCGGTGACTGTCCAGTTGAATCATACCGTGTGCAATTATAAGCATGTGCTGAGAGGCCCAATGTGAGATTTCCAATGCGGCTTTTTTCTTGTCAGGGGACAAAGTTCCTAACATGTCACATAATGTGCGATTAAACCTCTCAAGCACATGCGTTACCCATGGGATGATATGGTGTTGTTCTGGATTTCTTCATGCCGGTTAATAAACACAATTCCTTTATAAGATTTCCATCAAAGTTGGCACCTTGATCAGAGTGTATGCGCTGTGGAATCCCATAATGCGATGAAGTTGTCAAAGAAAGCTTTTGCTGTGGCTTTGGCTGTCATGTTGTTGGTGACATATGCCTGTGCATATCTGGTGAAGTGATCCGTGACAACTAACACACAGTGTTTGCCTCCTTTGCATGGTTCAAGGTCCAAGAAATCCATTGATACTAACTCTAGTGGCTGAGTTGTTTCAATTCCTATGAGTGGAGCTCTGGTTGGTTGGAGTCTTCCGGCAGATGCATCTCCTGCAATTTGTAATCCATTCATCAGCGTCTTTAGACATGCGAGATTAGAAGAATCTGTCTCCTCAAGAGAGACAAAGTTCGATCTCGTCCTGGATGACCCATATTGTCATGAAGGCCTTCTAATGCATCTTTGATGTACTCAAGCTGGTAAACTAATTGCTGTCTAGTTTGTCCGTTAATTGACACTTCTCTGTACAAAATTCCCTGTTCAAGATGAAGATTCCTAGAGATCTTGAGCAGTGCTGAATGAGTAGGGGAATCACAGAAATCCTGTCTCCTTGGTTTGTTGTTGGGTTGTAAACATCTTGTCCATTGTCTCAAGATAAGGTCCTGGTACTGTGCCTTTCTCCAGTCCCGTTTTGACATCCTGGCTAAAGGGACACCAATAGTGTCTAGGTTCTCTTCCAGAGTAACGTCAGCCTGCAAACATAAACTCTCAACATAAGGTTGGGTATGAATGACGTTGCACACAGCCTTTACAGAGTAAGCCTGGCATATGCTCATGTCCTCCACTTGTCTCTAGGTCTGGTAGACGTGACATACCATCTGCATCTGCATTGTTGATTCCAGGCCGGTGCTTGATGTCAAAATCATAGGCTGCCAAGGATGCTAACCATCTATGTCCTGTTGCGTCAAGTTTAGCTGAGGTTAGAATATAGGTCAATGGATTGTTATCTGTATAAACTCTGAACTTGGTACCATAGAGGTTGTCGTTGAACTTTTCAGTAATTGCCCACTTCAAAGCCAGGAACTCAAGGCGATGTGCAGAGTAGTTCTTCTCAGCTTTGTTTAGTCCTCTACTGGCATATGCAATAGCTCGCTTCTTTCCATCCTGCTCTTGATAGAGGACAGCCTTGAGTCCATGTGTACTAGCATCTGTATGGAGCTCAAATGGTAGGCTGTAGTCTGCATAGGCTAGAATAGGAGGCTTTAAACCAGAAGCTGTTTTAAGTGATGGAATGCCTTCTCTTGCTCAGATCCCCATATCCACGGCTGTTGGGCAACCTTCTTCCGTGTTCTCTTTGTCTGTGTTGGTGGAGGCATAAGACTTGACAGGGCTTAGTGATTGCAGCAAAGTTCTTCACAAATCTCGGTAATACCCTGCAAATCCAAGAAACTGTCTAACCTCTGCTGGATTCTTTGGTTAGGGCCATGTCTTTATCTTTTCAACTTTAGCGGATCTGGTTCAATGCCTTGTCCTGATACAATATGTCCTAAGAACTTGATCTTGTCTTTGAAGCTGCACTTATCTGGAGCCGAGCTTGAATCCATAATCTCGGAGCCTCTTAAACACCTTTTTAGCCTGTCCAGATGTTCTTCAAAGGTATCCGCAAAGACAATGACGTCATCCATGTAGATAAGGCATATCTTTAAGTGCATATCTTCAAAACAGTCATTCATGAGGCGTTGATAAGTGGCGGGACTGTTGCACAAACCAAAGGGCATCCGGTTGAATTCAAAGAATCCGAGGGGTCCTACGGAGAAAGCAGTTCTCTCCTTGTGATGTTCTTCTAAGTCAACATGGTGGTATCCGCTCTTCATGTCCATTGTGGAGTAGAATTTTGATCCTCTAAGTGTATCAAACATCTCCTCAATCCTGGGGAGAGCGTAGGAATCCTTAATAGTCCTCTGATTTAGCTGTCTAAAATCAATGCACATCCTTAGCGTCCCATTTCTCTTGTGTACTAATACCACATTGGAAGACCAAGGTGATCGTGATCGACGGATGACTCCACTTGCTAATAGTTGGTGCAGATGATCTCTTACTTCAGCATGCATAGATGGCGGAATTCTCCTATGTCGCTGTTCATCTATGAGATCTATCCGGTGTTTCACTGCAATAGTGTGTCCAAGGTCAAGATCACCATGAGAGAATATGTCCAAGTAGTCCGAGATAACCCTTAATCCCTCTTCGCATTGAGTGCCTGAGATCTGTGAAGTTTCTATATCCATCCTATTAAAGAGTGAATCCTTGTCCTGTGACACATCTGTCATAGAAGGCTGTTCTTCAACATCAACAGGCTGTATCTCACACACAAGGGCACGGGGTTGAATGACTACCGTTCTTGTGGTAATATTTGAAATGTTGACATCTACAAATCCTCTCTCTCTGTATGTTATCAAGCTGGGTGAGATGTCAAGATCATCAGGAATAGCTGAACGGCTAGTACTTTGCAATATAGCACATGTATTGCGCGGTAAGGAAGTGCCTTGTCAATGTAGCCAGTGATAGTGACTTCTGAATTGGGTGGGATGACAACCTTCTTCACTCCTGCACACTTGACTAGTCGAGCTTAAATTCTCGTCGAACAAGATCCCGTTCCTGCAGTACCATACACCTAAAAGCTAAATACCAAGGTGTATAAAGGTTGGCATCTTGCAGAAACTTCTCCCCATGTAGTTGTCTACAGGTTCCTAAGTAAACCGATAACATATTGGTCCCAAGTAAAACCGGTACCTTGTGATTATAGTTGCTTGTAGGAACGACAAGCAGAAGACATGGCTGGCGTTCAGCATCAATCCCATTAACCTCTAAGTCCAGCTGAATGTAACCTGAGTATGGCAGGGGCTGTCCATCAGCACACTCAATATCCAAGACACACAGCATAGTTATCCTCTTCTCTTCATATATATAAATGTCATTCACAAAACGCACAATGGGATATACAGAATGTGACACGCGTTTCAATCACAGTCAATATCACTTGCACAATACAAGAGTCTCAAATATCTACAAGCCAAGTAGTAAGCTCAAGGCCGAAACTCATGTGTAACAAAGTGTCTGGTTGTGTACCGTAGTGTTACATTACTTGGTCATTACGGTTCCCTTCCATCTATGGAAAGTTGATGTCCATCGTTGTCCCTTGTCACTGGTTGCATCACTGTTACTTCTGAACATCTAGATCCTGCCGACGACGCCAATGTAACCGGAGTGGTTTGGTATATACCACAAAGGCAAATAGTTTTTTTTGTAGATGTCAGTTTAATGGCAATAACTGAAGAAGGCCCTGTGATAAGCTGTTGCTAGCTGTGACCAGTGACCAGACAGACTGAAGTGAAAATGATAGCTGACCCACAAAACACCCTGCTATTGAAACTAAGGGGCCTGGGGCTGGGGCAACACAATAGAGACAATAGACAACGTAAGCGCAAGGGTGACCGTGCTATTGTGAAAGTGAAGCAGGTTAGATTGAGTGGTTAAGCTTGGGCTAGACTTAGTGATTAAAATACAAATTAAAATACACTTGCTTATATGTACATAATTACATACTCCTACAAAAGCTGAAACAAAAAGGCCAACCTTGAAATCTGTTTCAAAGGGAATCTGAAATGAAACCTACCGCCATGATTGTCATAAGTCTACGTTAAGGTAGGGGTGTTACGGTCACCTAAGCACTAAGATCACTTCGTACAACAACACCCTGGGCCCCATAAGACAAAGCAATCATAGAGATATGACACTTGTAATCCTATGTTAAAGTAGGGGAGTTGTGGCCACCTTAACGCTAAATTCAATGCCACCCTGGGCCCCATTAGACAAAGCTGTCATGGAGATGTGGCACTTGTAAGCCTATGTTAAAGTAGGGGAGTTATGGCCACCTTAGCGCTAAGATTAACGGCACCCTTGGCCCCATTAGACAAAGCAGTCTTGGAGATATGGCACTTGTAAGCCTATGTTAAAGTATGGGAGTTACTGCCACCTTAGCTCTAAGCTCAACGGCACCTTAGTGCCACACTTGTTTATGGAACTGACTGCAGGACTTTCTCTGAGTAGGGTGATAAACACCAAACACGTTTATGCTTCAGGCTGTAGTGACCTCTGCACTGTGGTGGAACTGGAACGACTCACCCAGCATATGATACCAGAAGATTCCAAGGCTATGTGTGAGGGTGACAGCCACACATCACACAGGGACCACCTGTCAGGTAGGGTATTATAGGATTGCTATCTTGATGTAGGTGTGAGGGTGACAGGCACACCACACAGGGACCACCTGTCAGGTAGGGTATTATAGGATTGCTATGTTGATGTAGGTGTGAGGGTGAAGGACACTCACCACACAGGGACCACCTGTCAGGTAGGGTATTATAGGATTGCTATGTTGATGTAGGTGTGAGGGTGAAGGACACACACCACACAGGACCACCTGTCAGGTAGGGTATTATAGGATTGCTATGTTGATGAAGGTGTGAGGGTGAAGGACACTCACCACACAGGGACCACCTGTCAGGTAGGGTATTATAGGATTGCTATGTTGATGTAGGTGTGAGGGTGACAGCCACACATCACACAGGGACCACCTGTCAGGTAGGGTATTATAGTATTGCTATGTTGATGTAGGTGTGAGGGTGACAGACACACATCACACAGGGACCACCTGTCAGGTAGGGTATTATAGTATTGCTATGTTGATGTAGTTGTGAGGGTGACAGACACACATCACACAGGGACCACCTGTCAGGTAGGGTATTATAGGATTGCTATGTTGATGTAGGTGTGAGGGTGACAGACACACACCACACAGGGACCACCTATCAGGTAGGGTATTATAGGATTGCTATGTTGATGTAGGTGTAATGGTGACAGACACACACCACACAGGGACCACCTGTCAGGTAGGGTATTATAGGATTGCTATGTTGATGTAGGTGTGAGGGTGACAGACACACAACACACAGGGACCACCTGTCAGGTAGGGTATTATAGGATTGCTATGTTGATGTAGGTGTGAGGGTGACAGACACACATCACACAGGGACCACCTGTGAGGCAGGGTATTATAGTATTGCTATGTTGATGTAGGTGTGAGGGTGACAGCCACACATCACACAGGGACCACCTGTCAGGCAGGGTATTATAGTATTGCTATGTTGATGTAGGCGTGAGGGTGACAGCCACACATCACACAGGGACCACCTGTCAGGTAGGGTATTATAGTATTGCTATGTTGATGTAGGTGTGAGGGTGACAGCCACACATCACACAGGGACCACCTGTCAGGCAGGGTATTATAGGATTGCTATGTTGATGTAGGCGTGAGGGTGACAGCCACACATCACACAGGGACCACCTGTCAGGTAGGGTATTATAGGATTGCTATGTTGATGTAGGCGTGAGGGTGACAGCCACACATCACACAGGGACCACCTATCAGGTAGGGTATTATAGGATTGCTATGTTGATGTAGGTGTGAAGGTGACAGACACACATCACACAGGGACCACCTGTCAGGTAGGGTATTATAGGATTGCTATGTTGATGTAGGCGTGAGGGTGACAGCCACACATCACACAGGGACCACCTGTCAGGTAGGGTATTATAGTATTGCTATGTTGATGTAGGTGTGAGGGTGACAGACACACACCACACAGGACCACCTGTCAGGTAGGGTATTATAGTATTGCTATGGTGATGTAGGCGTGAGGGTGACAGCCACACATCACACAGGGACCACCTGTCAGGTAGGGTATTATAGTATTGCTATGTTGATGTAGATGTGAGGGTGACAGCCACACACCACACAGGGACCACCTGTCAGGTAGGGTATTATAGGATCGCTATGTTGATGTAAGTGTGAGGGTGACAGACACACAACACACAGGGACCACCTGTCAGGTAGGGTATTATAGGATTGCTATGTTGATGTAGGTGTGCGGGTGACAGCCACACATCACACAGGGACCACCTGTCAGGCAGGGTATTATAGTATTGCTATGTTGATGTAGGTGTGAGGGTGACAGACACACATCACACAGGGACCACCTGTCAGGTAGGGTATTATAGGATTGCTATGTTGATGTAGGTGTGAGGGTGACAGACACACACCACACAGGGACCACCTGTCAGGTAGGGTATTATAGGATTGCTATGTTGATGTAGGTGTAATGGTGACAGACACACACCACACAGGACCACCTGTCAGGTAGGGTATTATAGGATTGCTATGTTGATGTAGGTGTGAGGGTGACAGACACACACCACACAGGGACCACCTGTCAGGTAGGGTATTATAGGATTGCTATGTTGATGTAGGTGTGAGGGTGACAGACACACACCACACAGGACCACCTGTCAGGTAGGGTATTATAGTATTGCTATGGTGATGTAGGCGTGAGGGTGACAGCCACACATCACACAGGGACCACCTGTCAGGTAGGGTATTATAGTATTGCTATGTTGATGTAGATGTGAGGGTGACAGCCACACACCACACAGGGACCACCTGTCAGGTAGGGTATTATAGGATCGCTATGTTGATGTAAGTGTGAGGGTGACAGACACACAACACACAGGGACCACCTGTCAGGTAGGGTATTATAGGATTGCTATGTTGATGTAGGTGTGCGGGTGACAGCCACACATCACACAGGGACCACCTGTCAGGCAGGGTATTATAGTATTGCTATGTTGATGATAGGTGTGAGGGTGACAGACACACATCACACAGGACCACCTGTCAGGTAGGGTATTATAGGATTGCTTATGTTGATGTAGGTGTAATGGTGACAGACACACCACACAGGGACCACCTGTCAGGTAGGGTATTATAGGATTGCTATGTTGATGTAGGTGTGAGGGTGACAGACACACACCACACAGGGACCACCTGTCAGGCAGGGTATTATAGGATTGCTATGTTGATGTAGGTGTGAGGGTGACAGACACACATCACACAGGGACCACCTGTCAGGTAGGGTATTATAGTATTGCTATGTTGATGTAGGTGTGAGGGTGACAGACACACATCACACAGGGACCACCTGTCAGGTAGGGTATTATAGTATTGCTATGTTGATGTAGTTGTGAGGGGTGACAGACACACATCACACAGGGACCACCTGTCAGGTAGAGGGTATTATAGGATTGCTATGTTGATGTAGGTGTGAGGGTGACAGACACACACCACACAGGGACCACCTGTCAGGTAGGGTATTATAGGATTGCTATGTTGATGTAGGTGTAATGGTGACAGACACACACCACACAGGACCACCTGTCAGGTAGGGTATTATAGGATTGCTATGTTGATGTAGGTGTGAGGGTGACAGACACACACCACACAGGGACCACCTGTCAGGTAGGGTATTATAGGATTGCTATGTTGATGTAGGTGTGAGGGTGACAGACACACACCACACAGGGACCACCTGTCAGGCAGGGTATTATAGGATTGCTATGTTGATGTAGGTGTAATGGTGACAGACACACACCACACAGGACCACCTGTCAGGTAGGGTATTATAGTATTGCTATGTTGATGTAGGTGTGAGGGTGACAGACACACACCACACAGGGACCACCTGTCAGGTAGGGTATTATAGGATTGCTATGTTGATGTAGGTGTGAGGGTGACAGACACACACCACACAGGGACCACCTGTCAGGTAGGGTATTATAGGATTGCTATGTTGATGTAGGTGTGAGGGTGACAGCCACACACCACACAGGACCACCTGTCAGGTAGGGTATTATAGTATTGCTATGTTGATGTAGGTGTGAGGGTGACAGACACACAACACACAGGACCACCTGTCAGGTAGGGTAATATAGTATTGCTATGTTGATGTAGGTGTGAGGGGTGACAGACACACACCACACAGGACCACCTGTCAGGTAGGGTATTATAGGATTGCTATGTTGATGTAGGTGTGAGGGTGACAGACACACACCACACAGGGACCACCTGTCAGGTAGGGTATTATAGTATTGCTATGTTGATGTAGGTGTGAGGGTGACAGACACACACCACACAGGGACCACCTGTCAGGTAGGGTATTATAGGATTGCTATGTTGATGTAGGTGTGAGGGTGACAGACACTCACCACACACAGGACCACCTGTCAGGTAGGGTAATTATAGTATTGCTATGTTGATGTAGGTGTGAGGGTGACAGACACACACCACACAGGACCACCTGTCAGGTAGGGTATTATAGTATTGCTATGTTGATGTAGGTGTGAGGGTGACAGACACACACCACACAGGGACCACCTGTCAGGTAGGGTAATTATAGTATTGCTATGTTGATGTAGGTGTGAGGGTGACAGACACACACCACACAGGACCACCTGTCAGGTAGGGTATTATAGGATTGCTATGTTGATGTAGGTGTGAGGGTGAAGGACACTCACCACACAGGGACCACCTGTCAGGTAGGGTATTATAGGATTGCTATGTTGATGTGGGTCAGGTAGACATTAAATAGGGTCCCTCTTCGGATTTCGGGGCAGGAGAGTCATCTGCATTTCATTGCTTCTTTGGAAACTCAAAGAACCACAGCTTCATTTACACCTCCTGAGATGCTGATATTTGGTGCCAAATCTGCAGCAATCGGCAGTAAATATTTCAAAATGGGACTTTAAAATTTCATATATTATAACTAAAACACATTCTTCATCAAGTCAACTGATATTTCACTGTTCCTCTGTTAACAAGACTTAAGAGAAGAATATCATTCATTTTATGTGATTGAATTGGAACCAATATTACGATTAAATGGTAAAATACCAAGAGAATATATATCTCTAGAAAAATAATATTTTTTAAAGAAAATAACATGTTTCCAAATTTTCCAGCCAAGGTCACTTAATTTTACAAATCACTGTATAGCCATTCCTTGCCTTCTCTGTCCCACAGGAGCAACTGTAGCTGTAGCTGTCCTCATCCCGGTCATCCTGGCCATGTTCCTGGCCATCCTGGCATACAGGTTTATGCAAGAGAGGAAGCGCCAAGCTTTGTACCGATACCGACCAGTCAACGAACACTTGTGACTAGCGCCGTGTCGGATCTGCCGGTTCAGAAACATTCCGCTTTTGATCAAGTCTTGTTTTCTCAAAGTAGCAACATGTTTTCCTCGGAAGAAATGCAAATGATCCAATGATCCATTTTTCATATACTAGATACAGTCTTTTTAAAAATATATTATTGTTTTTTTTTGTCCCATTATTCGCTATGAACATTTTTCATAATGGACGAAAATACATATCATCTTTAGGTGATTCCCATTTCATCTTCAAGGCCTAACCAGTGTGCTCACTAGTGGTGGTCCTATTAATTGAAATAATCAAAGATTGGTCGCAATGACTAAACGACCAAGCAATTTGAAAAAATAAAAACTCAAAAGAAGTACATGTATTTTCTAGATTTTCTTAGCATTAGCACACACAGTCAGGAAGATTTGATAAATAACGCTAACCAATTATTTTCGATGATTGCTCGGTTGTAATGAATCAATCATCAATTATGAGATTTCAGCCAATTCCCAACGCTCGTGCTCACTGCTCTTAAAGTTAAACCATCCAATAGACTTGGGGATAAGAGTAATAAAGTAAAAATGTTATTGTCTGGAGATGCTATATTCAGGAAGAGGGTTATTATCTTGTAGACAAGCTAGGTGGAGGAACCTATTCTGTTCAAGTAGATGTGTAGATAGAGTAGTGTGGGTGTGTGAACATTTGACATTCAGCATTGACTTTGAACAATGACATTCAACAGTTTAACACCAACATTCAATCACTGCCATATAATATTGACATAAAACGCTTATATTCAAAATTGAGATTAAACATTTGGATTTACAAATGGTGTATGGAACTGACATTTTACACTGACATTTAGCTATGATACTCAACATTGACATTCAACAATGAAAAACAGCATTGACATTCAACCTTGGCATATAACCTTGATTTTTAACATTGGTATACACCATAAGATACAACATTGACATTCAGCACTGACATTCAACAGTGCTGTACAAAATGGATATATATACAGCATCAGCAGTCAACATTGTCATTAAACAATGGTATACAACATTGACATTAAACAATGGTATACAACATTGACATTAAACAATGGACATTGGCATTAAACAATGGTATACAACATTGACATTAAACAATGGTATACAACATTGACATTAAACAATGGTATACAACATTGACATTAAACATTGACATTAAACAATGGTGTACAACATTGACATTAAACAATGGTATACAACATTGACATTAAACAATGGTATACAACATTGACATTAAACATTGACATTAAACAATGGTATACAACATTGACATTAAACAATGGTATACAACATTGACATTAAACAATGGTATACAACATTGACATTAAACAATGGTATACAACATTGGCATTAAACAATGGTATACAACATTGACATCAACCATGGTATACAACATTGACATTAAACAATGGTGTACAACATTGACATCAACCATGGTATACAACATTGACATTAAACAATGGTGTACAACATTGACATTAAACAATGGTATACAACATTGACATTAAACAATGGTATACAACATTGACATTAAACAATGGTGTACAACATTGACATTAAACAATGGTGTACAACATTGACATTTAACAATGGTGTACAACATTGACATTAAACAATGGTATACAACATTGACATTAAACAATGGTATACAACATTGACATTCATTAAATCTGATCACATCTCTCCTGTTCTCAAATCCTTACATTGGTTGCTTATTCAACAGAGAATCAACTTCAAACTTCTCTGCATCACTTTCAGCTGTCTCCACAATCAAGCTCCAGAATATCTCACCGAACTCATCACAGAATACATTCCATCAAGATCACTCCGGTCCCAGAATCAGCACCTACTACAAGTTCCCAAATTCCACCTAGTTTCGTATGGGAAAAGGGCTTTCTCCTATGTTGCACCAACTCTTTGGAACTCTTTACCTTTAGAAATCAAACTATGTGAATCTCTCTCAACCTTCAAGTCAAAAGTTAAAACTCACCTGTTTCAAAGTGCCTATGACTGACTCTTTTACTCAATTCTTTTTAGCGCATTGAGCATTCATAAGTGTGTGGACATTTGCGCTTTATAAGTGACATTATTATTATTATTAGTAGTAGTAGTTCTATACAACATTGATACTCAGCATCAACGTTCAACATTGACTCAAGGCAATGAAATTTACACGAAATTGATGAATATCACAACAGTACATGGGTGTAGCGGACCTGTTGGGTGTAGCGGACCTGCTGGGTGTAGCGGACCTGCTGGGTGTAGCGGACCTGTTGGGTGTAGCGGACCTGTTTGGTGTAGCGGACCTGTTGGGTGTAGCGGACCTGCTGGGTGTAGCGGACCTATTGGGTATAGAGGACCTATTGGGTGTAGAGGATGTGTTGGGTTGTGGGTAGCAGACCTGTTGGGTGTAGCAACCTAACACTGACCTATTGGGTTGAGGATGTGGGTGACACAGACCTGTGGGTAACAGACCTGTTGGAGTGTAGCGGGTGACCTGTGGGTGTAGCCTGACCCTGTTGGGTGTAGTTGGGTTGGGTAGAGGATGTGTTGTGGGTAACACAGACCTGTTGTGGGTAGCAGACCTGTTGGGTGTAGCGGACCTGTTGGGTGTAGAGGATGTGTTGGGTGTAGCGGACCTGTTGGGTGTAGCGGACTTGTTGGGTATAGAGGACCTATTGGGTGTAGAGGATGTGTTGTGGGTAACACAGACCTGTTGTGGGTAGCAGACCTGTTGGGTGTAGCGGACCTGTTGGGTGTAGCGCGACCTGTTGGGTGTAGCGGACCTGTTGGTGTAGCGGACCGGTTGGGTAAAGCGTACCTGTTGATTGTAGCAGACCGGTTGGTGTAGCAGACCGGTTGGGTAGAGAATGGGATTGGGTGGTCACACGCTTTTACTTCGTTGACACATGTCATCGTATACTAATTCTGTAGATTGATACTCATGCTGTTGAAGTATGGATTGTCTGGTCCAGACTCGATCATTTACAGACCACCGCCATATTGCTGGAATATTTGCTGAGTGTGGTGTTAGTAACAATTACACCAAACCTAAAACTTTTAACAAATATTTTAAGTCACTACCATGTAAATATGCTGATCTTCATGGACTACCAGTATCCTGACACGGAGGGAAATAAATTTCTTCGAGGGTGAAGAAATCCCTCATACCCAAACATAGAAAACATGCTGCGCATTGATTTTGGAGCAGGGGAATGAAACTCTTGTACATGATGTGAGGCTGAAAGAGAAATTTAACTTCAGCTCAACTGAATAGGTGTTTTCTGTAAATTTTTAAAGATTGTCATTCTTATACCATGTAAATGTGTATATGTCAGTAAGATAAATCTTTTGACAGAGAAGCACTTTGGGAACCACTAAATATGTGATGTTTTTGCATTCTGCTTCAGGTTATGAACCAGAAACAGGAGCTAGTAATATAAAACCTCATAGGGGAAGTACAAAACCAAATATAGCCTTCATGATAGATCTACAACAGTGTTCAAACCATAGGGTAATAGCTAGTTGTAGAAGGTTGAATGTTCAGATTGGAACTCACTGTCTGATTATTATCATCAAATTGAAAGTCAAATTATCATCAAACATATTTCAGCAAGATTACATTGCAGATATAGCCAAGTTTCTACTATAGAACCTTTTGACTTTCGTACTTATTTTATCATCATAGTCTATGCATATATTTCTGTTTGTTACAATGCTAAAAGTATTGATTTCATGCATTCCTTTTTAGTCGAAAAAAAGAAGAAATATTCTCAATCTCCACGATCAGTTGTTTGATGTTGTGATGTCCCCAAAATCTCAGATCTCTGAACATTCCAAGATTTTGATTGTTTGTCTATGGTAGTTTACTAACATAATGCCCCCAAAATGTGTCAAAATGCATTTTACCCAAAGAACTGATATTTCATTGGACCTAAAAGTGTGTTGCAAGGGAAAATATTTAGCACCTGCTTTCACAGATACGTGTTTTGATCTAATGACTGAAAACATTCTTTGTCTTTGGCACTTCCAGTCCTCAGTGAAAACTGAAACATTGTATTTTTTAAGTTATTTTTGGTGTCTCATGTTTCTGTAAAACAGAACATTGAAATATACATACACACAAAGAACTTAATTAAGCATCCCTGTATATTTGCAATCATAGGTTTTCAACTCATTCATAAAACATGTTACTGACTTGTATGGTCCTTTATAAAAAAACAACAAATGATTGGTATCAATGTTGATTTTATGGTGATAACTGCTCATTTTAAGAAACCCACTGATTTTCATACAAAACCATGTCTGTACAAATATGGCCCTTGAATGTTTAATGTTGAATTTATTGGTGAATGTGAACATTCAAAATGTCATTTTGCGTACCTAACACGATTCAAGGTCAATACCGAGTGTAACCACCATGTGACTGTATGACAGCCAGCACACTCCTCCTCATACCCCCTGTCAGCCTCCTGATCCTCTGAAGGTCAGTCTATGCCATTGATCGTGTAAAGCAGCTTCCAATTGGGCCAGGTTCTGTACAGGAGGATCCCTTTATTGCACACAACAACGATCAATCATGTCCCAGATATGTTCCAAAGGGATAAGATCGTGGCTCATTCAATCATGAGATATGTCAGGGGTTGCTTAGCTAAGTTCTTTGTGTATATATACAGGTGTGTACTTATTCCGATATTTACATGTTTATTTTGTATTATATTTAAATGGTGATTGTTTTGTTACATAATATGGCTCCCCCTTTTGGGTCTCAATTACACTATAGAAATCACATAAGTATCAAGAGACTAGATTCTCAGCCTTTTGTAAGACCATGGTGGTGGTAACTGTAGTCTAACATAGACTTACAACTGTCATAGATCAATGAAAGCTTTGTGGGCCATGGGCTTGGTTATTGCAGAATGTAAGAGACAGCTATTTGTCTGATCCTGTGTCAACACTCTCCCACCATGCTCAATAAGTGTGCATATTCATTGAATAGAGATCTGCTTTAACATCAATTTGATGTGTGAGTAACCTGAAAATTCTGAGGAATGATCTGCAAATATTTCTGCGTAAGTATTTGTAGGTGTTCCAGATTCGAAAAGGTCACAGGA